ACAAGCATTATCGATGATGTCACAGTCATGTCACAGCAATGGTACAATTGCTCTAAACCGGCACATTCCAAATACTCACCCCCATCCTGCTGCAGCAGTGTGTACATTAATGAGATCCCATGTCTATCTGAAGTAATTATGTGAAAAATATTTAGAAATCATCATGTAGATCTTCAAGTTGAACAACTCATACTGTCATAAGGAACAAACATTCAGCTGGCATCACCAGCAGGTATAAATCTTCAGACAGAATTGAATTACTCCCCAAAGACGTCCTCCTCACTCACATTCCGTTTGCAGACAACCTGTCATCCAAACTGCTGATTCTGTTCCCATTCCCTCTTCCCTGAATTTGCAAGCACTGTAATACCACTTTGCAGCTTCCATGGCATAGCATCTTCTACAGCAGGATCTCAGCGTATTTTACAGTTGTTTTAGGCAATTTAGCTTTGCAAAATGGACTTCTTGCAAAGTGGAGAATCCTTAACGGCCTTCATTTTGCAAAGGTGGAAACTCAAGAGAAACAGGTTGCCAATAGCCTTTCTATTGAAAAACTGAGAATCCGTGCCTTTGAATTGAAGAACAATCAAAGCTTAGCAAATTAGATTAACTTCTTACAGTCTCATACTACACTTGCAAAGGAACCAAGAAGAGAAACAGCTGTTCATCGTAAGACTTGCAGAACTATTTACCCTTTCTTTGTACAGCTTTCAATTCCCATGTTACTCTAGAATAGCTTTGTTTTAAAAGTGAGGAGTTATGTAATCTGTAGTGAAGGATGTTCAGGGTGAAACATGAAATATGTGAATATGCTTTGATATTGCGGAGTTGGTCTTGTTTAGAAATAAATAAAATACTACCCAGATAATCCTTTATATTTGGCTGTTTGTGCTGCCAAGATGCTCATCATCAGGGTAACCAACTAAAATGTCCACAGCCGGTGCTCCAAGAAGCTATGTTAGAAAGAAATTCTTGACTGTTAGAGTGGTGAGGCACTGGAACAGGTTGCCCAGAGAGGTTGTGGATGCCCCCTCCCTGGAAGTGTTTAAGACCAGGTTGGATGAGGCTTTGGGCAACGTGGTCTAGTGGAGGGTGTCCCTGCCCACGGCAGGGGGGTTGGAACTAGATGATCTTTGATGTCCCTTCCAACTCTAACCATTCTATGATTCTATGATTCTATGATTTTTTTTCCCCCATCCACTTCTGAAAGCAGTAATTCACTTAGAAAACTCTACAGAGAATCAAGAAGCCAAATGTCTGTTTCAGGGGATAGAATTGCTGTGATTACATTCCACCTTCATCCAAAGAAACTAAATTTCTGTATGTTTTGTAAAATGACAGTGCCTCATAGGGTCATTATCAGAGAGCCTACTGTACAAAGAGGCATTTTTCATACATGTAAAGAGAAAGGTAACTTTGTATGTAACATCCTGAAGCAGACTTACAGAATATCTCAGGTCTGAGAAGTCAACTGAGGACTGTTTAATATTGTGACCAATACATTTTTCACAATAATACAAGCTAAAATAGCTCGTGAGTCAGTTCTTCAAGAGGATTAGCATTTTTGTAGGTTTAATGCTGCTGCCCTCCTAAGACAAATAAATAAATAAACTAATATAATAGCAGTCCTATTGCATTTGCCAAAACTTTATTTGGGAATTTTAAATGATCTACTAATTCCAGAATTAGAAGCACAAAATCAGGGCTTGAGTGGTGCTGGAAGCACATACCCGCAGTGCAGCTTCTGAAGACGGAGTCTGTTTTGTACAACCAAACCTGACTAAATGTTTCTGCTTGAGTTTCTGGGATAAAGGTAGAATTATTTAGCTCATGCAGTGTTTCCAACAATATGCTGACATAGCACTGTGGACATGCACACAGTTTCTTTCTCCTGAACAGATTACAGTTGTATTAGTCTCCATCAGGGGACTCTCCAGCTGTGAGTCCAGGTGGGATGTTACATCTGGCATTCCCTCACACAGAACATCTCACACAGCAGAAGGAGAAGGCTGCACCGAAGCCACTTATGAAGAATGGTTCCTGGCCTAGGCTAACCTTTGGGTCATGCAGGGCAATTATCTGGGAGATTGCTAATAGTTACAGGCCAAAACTGTACCGTTCTCCTGGTCTTACAGTATGGATGATGATTACACATCAGGTCCTCTGCTCTGGGCCTGCCCTGGCGATGTTGCAATTCCGGTGGAGATGTACCCATAGTTAACATGGTTTTGAAGGAGTTGGACCTGGGCTAAATCATTTTGACTGAGCAGGACTTATTATTCCAGTGTTGGAGCTGGATCACGTGGCCATCATAACCCAGAGCATTATGTAATCAGATCCTCATGCTATAGGAGACAACATTCCAGAAGTTTCTGGAGTTTGTGCAGGAGTGGAACAAAAGTGAAGTTGTACTTGTAAACCACAGAATTTCACATAACGTACAGTTAGGCATCTGGGCAAACTGAATCAGGAAACTGCTGCTGATCAAAATCTCTCTGATGACCATAGGAGTCTGCCTGTGAACCATATCCCAAATTATTAGTGATTCATACCACTTATCATGGACATGTCTGTGTGATTGCAATGTTTGATTAGATGCTCTATTCAAATGGTTTTGTGTTAGAAGACCATGGCAGTATCTTGCCTGCCTTCTCCTTTGCACTGTTTCCCAGGTTTACCTGTTCTCCGTACCATGGTCCCAAATACTTTCTCCCACTGTGCTTAGTCAGATAGATACCTCATTCCACTACAGTCTGTAGCTGAGAATTCTCCCTCCTGCCTGGCATGTTGCATCCTGGAGGTCCAGGTCTTCCAAGACTGTCAGCCTGACAGAAGAGAACTACCATGCTATGCAGGAATACATCATGCCATGACCAGAGCACTAGGTATGGCAGCACTGAAGAACAGGCAAGAGAAAGCTGGGTCCCGAGTGTGACCATAAGGTTAAGTCAAGTCATCTGCCTGAGCCCTTCTAGAGCTGTTCAGCTCAATTGCCTTTCCACCTCCCCTCTGTGTTTGACTGACATTTCATTGAAAATACTAAAAATATACGCTGTTGTACTGGGTGTCAGTGCCAAGGCTTTGGCAGTACTGAGGCTCAGGACTAGCCTCGGTCAGGGTTGCCCAGTGCCAGAGTCGGTGAGTTCCTGCTGGCACTGGAACAGACCCAGAACACGCCCAGCCAACAGCAGGACGCAGGCTCTGCGTTCACAGGTGTGCACTGCCTTTGGGCTACTGTCAGGGGCTGGAGGGAAGTCAAATGGCAACATCTGCAGTGAAACTGGGGATTCACCAGAGACAGAAGAGGCAACATGTTTCTGTATTTCTCAAAGACACCGAAGGTCTCATCTGCCAAGTTGAACAGAGCCAAAGAGCCAGATTCTGTTCTGGCTTGGCACGTTAGCGTTGCAGTGTGGTATCCAAGCTCTTTAGCCACATAAGCCACTCATTCTTCCCCTTCTGTCCCTACCTGCAGCAGGCAAGGTCATCTTTTTTTTCCTTTCTGTCCTGCTGCTAAGCAAGAACTGCAGCACAGGGGAGACTTGCAGAAAATAAGACAGGTGGCATCCACTTCCTTCCCACGCTCTTTTCCATCCTCTGGAAGGATCAGGCCCCAGAGCTTTCCCTGTCTTTTTTCTTCAGTGAGCTCCTCAAGATGTTCTATAAATGGCACTGAATGTGCTCTGCTTATCCCACCCAGGGGAAGCTGTGGCAGTCCTAGACTGAGCGTGGCACCAGTGTCACGGGAAACACGTTACACATAAAGCTGTTCATTAACTGTACCATAAACCCCAGAGGACTACATTCCTGCAACTGTGCCATTACACAAGTATTCCTGACCACTCCCACAGACATCTTATGGGACCGGGCAGATGTTTTTAAAACCTGAAAAGAACAGTTCATGAAGATATGAAGAGAACTTCCCAGTGTCACTAGCTGGGAAGTGGTCTAAGCACCAACACTGAGAATGAGCCTTGGAAATTTTAAAAGACTCATTCCTTGCATTTCAAAATGTAATAACCAAAGTCTAACTATGAAACCAAACTCACAACTGTGTTTTAAAAACAAGTCCCTGCCACTCCAGTGCACTAGTTTTGCAAGTATTTATTAGGAAATTCTGAACACCTAATATTTTTATCTCCAAAATGATATAAATAACACAGGAACCCCATGTTCCTATTTAACATGTCTCAATGACTTCAGATCAAACTTGTTGAGTTCATAAGCAAAATGATGATTTCTGTAACTAACATCTTTGTGCATACTCAACCTAGGCTGTACCTCTGTGTAGTTAGTGCCACAATCCCCAACATGAGATTCAAAAGCTGAAATCTAATAAGCGATTCTGAACAAACTACTCTGAAATCCTGCCCACTCTGTCCATTAGAAATAAAAAAAGAAAAATAAAAACCTCATCTCTGTAATTGCAAAAAATATCTAGGAGGTTGCCAAGAGACTGCAAAATGGCCCTAGTTCAGCTGAACATAGACTAAAATTAAGATGCTTTCTTTAGTATCAGTATTATGTGCTTTGCTGAACTGAGGCCTTAAAGATGACCAAGGTCACATCCAACATTTTCAGAAAGTCAATTCACAGGCCTTAAATAAATTCTGGCTTTGGATGAAGGATATGGGACTTTCAGCCTTATAACATTGCTTTGATGTATTTCACACTGAAAGACGACATTTTGGAGGCTGCTGTGCTTCATATTATCATTGGACGCAGCTCTGAAAGCAAAAGCTTTACACATTTGATATAGTTTGCAATGAGTTTGAATACCTGTGTAGTTTTTATGCACGAGTAAAATAATCTCAGCATTATTTAAAAAAAAAATCAATGATAAAAGACACTGCTTTTAATGTAAGATGTTTTTAATGTAAGATACCATACATCCAAGGTATTTCACAAATATTTTATCAAAATCCTCTACAAAATCATCATGTATGAAAGTTTTTCTGCTAAAACTTTTAAAGGAGAGAAAATTATGAGTGGAGCATATGCTATTCTGGAAGCAAATCCTCTCCTAGTTCTTCATCAGCAAAGTCATCTTCCTCAGGTCTTTTTCTTGCTGCAGTTTTTGGTCTTTCTGCTTGTGGGCCAAGTGGATCTATGTAGGAGGCATCTAGGGTTTAAATAAATATATTTAAAACAGTTACCTGCAAGTAATTTTAGTTTTGTTTCAAACATATACAATGAAATACAAGAGTGGGTTTTAGCATTACACACCTGCAAGGTGTCTTTGAAATGCAGACCAGAAAGAGCGTATGAACACTGAAGGAGTGTTCATACTGCATTTGGGAAGTGAGGCACAGCACAAGAGTAAAGTACCCGAGTGCTAGTGACAGGAGTTTTTTTAAAAATCAATTTCTCTTTATTTTATTACAGTAATTAAGTGAGAAAAAGACTTCAGAAAAGTGCATGGACAACAAGACTGATGAGTTGGTTAAGGAAAGGCATTTTAGGAAGTACCTACATTCCACATGGATTTGGGTTTTTAAACTCCTTTGAAAATTAGTCTTAGTGAAGAACTTATGACTGCAGAGCTATAAGAACTGTCTAAATGATGCAGCAGATATAGATGTCAAAAGTAGTAAGTATTTACATGGACCACATTTCTTAATATTTACAATTACTTTATAGTGAGCTCTGAATAATGAAGCTAAAGCCATTCTTCACATTTATTTCATGAGGAAAATATTTTCCTAATTGTCTAATTTTACATGCTCTTCAAATAACTTATTTTTTCCATCTCCCCTCTCTTTGAGGGCCAGGAGAATAAGAAGGTATAATACAATGCCCACTTGCCTATTTCTTTACTGCCGCTACTTTCATAGGGTTCACTTGTTCCAGGCAAAGCTTTCAGTTTGGCACTCAGTCTTTCCCCTTTGGTTCCACCGCTATCTGGGGGGGGGAAAGGTTGAAGACAAATAACATGCTGTTATGTTCGGTGAAATCATGATACAAGAACAACAAATTCAGCTACTATCTGTGAAACAAGATTTGGATGAAACCATTTTTTCATGATGGATACAGTACTCATTTGTAATAGTGGTCATTAAAACACAACAGACACATATGTCCATATGTGTGTGTTTTAATTTTAAAATATATACATATACATAAAGCCTTACTTACTTTGGAGTAAAACACATTAAAGTATTTCTGCTTCAAATGCTGACATTTCAGTTGCTTATAAATTACAGTCACATTTTGGAGTTAAAATAAGCATAATAAATATAAATACTGTCACAATGTATATGGACATTTCATATGTCTGTGTGCTTACTAATATACTAGTATGATCCACCTGTTCCATACTGTCAGGGTTAAATACAACACTAACTTTGCTTTTAATTAGAAGCGTGTATTTGGCACGTGCTGCCTGCATGGCAGGCAGGCACAGTTCGTGTATACAGACCGTCCTGGCCCTGCGTCTTGCTGTAAACACTGTGCTGGCAGCTCAGTTTGCACCGGGCCCCAAGGAATGTGTCGGCTCCGAGGGCTGCCTCGTGCCCAGACAACGTCAGATTAACATTCTCTTGCCACAGCAGTATTCCAGACACTTTAAATATTCTGTTCACCTCTGAATCTCTTTTTCACATTCATGGCAAGCTTTCAATCTTGTCTGCTACAAGAAATTTTTATGCATTTTTTTTTTCTCCTAGGAGAAAATGTTTTATGTTTGACTTGGTATATTTACAAGGCAGGACATGCCATGCAGCTAAATACAAACATGCTCATTTACAACACCAAACAATGTTGTTATTAAAAATCCTCCATCTGTAAAGAGGAAAAATGGGTTTCATTCATCAAACATTAATTACCAAGTCTGGACTTGGTGACACATTTCCATTGTCTTATTTACTATAAATGCTCTTTTTATAAATATTGTTACTATTTGAAAAACCCCCAAACTTCCACAAAGATGACAAACCTTTATTTCTCTATAAATACTACTGCAGACTTCAGTTTACCCAGCCCTGAATTGGAAGACAATGTCTCTGCTCCAAGAAAGATCTAATACATACAGTCACACGTCGAAGAATTAATATGCTTACAAGTCACACATTACAGTTGAAACTTCAAAGCAAAGAAAAATCTATTTTAATGTAAATCAACCTCCCTTGGATCAATTCTCTCTGACAGGTTTCACGGAAGAAGCGAATGTCTAACAAAGGATTTGAAGAAACTGAAAGAAATCAATGGGTTTGATTGGGGGGGCTCAACCAAAGGGCTGTGAAATTATGAAAGGGCCACCTCTGGATTTCAGTGGGCTTGCACAAGCCTGTGCAACAAGGAGGTGAGGGCTGAGATTTAGAGATCGTGTGGATGACAACATTTTGAGGACAGTTTAGAGGAGAATACAACATGTTTAACATGGAGAGAAAGAGTAGGACAGGAGCAGGCACAGAGTTTTGTGCAATGGAAAACAAGCAATTTACAAAATAACGAATAAAGTTGGAAGAAGCAGTAAGGGTGTGCAAAGACAGGTACAATACAGCAGAAACTACGCAAGGGGAAGACTGAACTAGTCAAAGAAACTCCATACATTTAATCGGTTGGGTCCAGAAAGGAAGAACTGTTCCAGAAAGGTGTAATGAAAGTAAAAGAGGAAGAAGATGTCATAGCAAAGGTTTTCAACTGTGAAAGAGGAAAACACATGGGGTTTAGTGATACTACCAGAGGAATGTGAAAGATTTTATATGAACTAGAAGAAGAAGAAGAAAAAAAAAAAAGATGGTAGACAAACCCAAATGGCTGGGATAAACATAATACCCACAAGTTACCTGTACCTCTTACTGCCCTAAACCAAACAATTAAAGACAGAAGCTTTCTTGGACATCCTAGGACCCTTAAGTTTTATTAGGGCTATATCCAAGAAGGGAACGAAGCAGCAAGTCCAAAATTTGAAGCTAAATTTTCCCCCTTTTTTCCTCCCCATCTAGTGGATGTCCAACCCTTGAAGTACCTAAACCTCACCAACTGCCCCCCCTACCTAGCTCTGAAGTTTCTTAAGCAATTCTGTGACTGAGTTGCTCCAGATGCCCATCCTGAGCATTCAGCAGGCGACCTTGGTGCCTAAGCTCCCTTTTCCATTTCTGAGTCAATACAGTAAATGCAATTGTGAGTGCTGTTACAGTAAGCAAATCTAGCTGTTCACGCATATGCAGATTTTTAGGCTTCAGACTTGATTCAGTTGCCCAAACACATTATTTATTGTGTTTAATGAACTGAACCAACTCACTGAATGGCTGGATTAATGCTAGAAGTAGTGCAAGGGAAGCAGCGAGAACATATGACCAGGAATGGGAAAGAAAAGAAGTGCTGAGTGGGGCTGGACTGTTCTTTCCAGAAGCAGCAAGTTATTTGATCGGTACACCCCACATTGACTAAACACACCCTGGAAAAAACTATGAAGAGTAAGTGTCTGTGGGCACAGTGTCCTCTTAACACTTAAGCGTTAAGAACATATGGATGCCTTGCTAGATTAAAGATCTATCTAAATTGGCTTATTGTCCATACAAAAGAACAAGATGCTTAGGGGAGAGCATCATAAGTAGACCAAGCATATACAATAGCTCTCCAGGAATAATTTCCTAGCCTCTAACAATTTGTAAATCAAGCATGTGTTTGGGGGCAGGGGGCAGCTCTTCATATTTAGTAACAGATTGATTGATTTATTCTCCAATAACTTGTTCAGTCTTCCCGTTTTGCATCCGTAACAACCTGAGGTAAGGAGTTCCACCTTTCATTTGCTCTGAACCTACCAATGTAGCCCCACATCACCACAGAAAGGAGCCCCTGCCCTCTCTTGCCCTGCATTGCATCACCCTCTGCATGCCGTGGTAGCAGGCTGTGCTGGAGCAGGTTACTGATATATTTAAAACTAACCTAATGAAAACTTTCTCTCAAGTGAATCAGCAAAGTAATGCAGCTCACCTTACCTATATATGACCATTATATCTACAGCAAGAGTGAAGGGAAGGTTAGTATTTCTTCTGGTAGCAACCCATAGTTATTTTAAATTAAGCTAATATGCAAAACCACATCACGTCTCCATGGACTGCACTATGCTCTGAGCATACCTACAAATGTGGAAGAGCAGCATTTTTCATTTTAAAGTACTGGAAGAGAATAAGAGGTGGTTGACACCATCTACCTTACATGGAGATATCAGAGAAGCGAAAGGTCTTCCTTCACCTGAGGAAGTTCAAACCCACAGCTCCATCTTTCAGGAAGATGGTCCTAGTGCTGAGCCATTCGGGGTAAGGCTTTTCTTGACATTCTGCCACGGGATACAGGATTTGGCTGCCAATATGGCAGCTATTAAAAATTCTGCTGACCATATAACATGATCTGCCAGAAGTTTAAATCTCATCTTGAAATTACTTTTTGTAGTTCTAGTTGCAGATAAATCATCTATATGTTTTTATTCAGTATACAGACATAATTTGGCCAAAGAGTTTATATGCATTCCAGCACTTTTGGCTTATGGGAATGAAACTAACTTTCTCTAAATACACAGAAAAAACCTGAAAGTAACATTGGGACAAAATATAATAATAGAACTCTGGATGAAAGGCTATTTTGTAGAGTTTTTCTCTACTAATAGTACAGCTTTGAGTATTAACACCTGTCTGATTGCACTTGCAATCAAAGGACTACAGGTAGACATTTCTCAAACTGCAAATGAATTCTAACTGCATTATTCTAGTAACTGTACAAACACGTATTCCTAATTAAATAAAGTTTTTGAATAATGGAAGACCAGTGCTGAACTAAATTGCTCTCTATATCCAAGAAAGCCTTCACTGCAATTAATACATGCTCATTATTTATTTACTTATTGCACTTTTACTTAAAAGATATGTTATTACTGTAGCTCACATGGAAGCTAGCCCCAGTATACTCACTCTGGGTTGATAACATGGACACACACAGATAAACTGACTGCAGGAACATCGCTCCCGACTTCAGTTGAAAAAGCAACAGGAACCAACTAAGCAGAGCTGGTCAATATATTTTCAAAATCTGATTTATAAGTATATTGACTCTGTAAAATGATTATACTTGAGACTTGGATTATCATGCTGACACTATCTTTCCCTCAGTCTGTGTGCAATAGCATTAATTGGAAGCTATGGATATAAAGACATAAATAATATACTTTACATGCTGACATCTGTTACAGTGCATTTCTTCCTCTCATCTGTTGAGATGCCCACATGCCCACAATGTTATATTTAGTATAATTAATTAAATTATTGTATATAATATGTTCTATTCATTCAGACTTTTTCAACTTTCATAAAAAAAATAAATTCATAGAATCCTAGAATGGTTTGGGTTGGAAGGGACCTCAAAGATCATCTAGTTCCAACCCCTCTGCCATGGGCAGGGACACCCTCCACTAGACCAGGTTGCCCAGAGCCCCATCCTCCACATACGATTTAAAAAAAGAATCAAAGTATAAAGCTTACTTTTTTTAAAATGGCTAATTTTATACAGCAGAATAATGAATAAAGCAGCATTGTGCAAAATTAATCCTATTTTGGAATAATCTTATTTTAAGCAGTGATATCTAGCAAAAAAGATTCTAAATCTTTTTAAGAGTTCCTATACTTTCTACTTAGCAAGATACCTGTGTATATATATCACTTCGACCCATAAAAATCCATGATTTTATATTTATTTTGTAAAGGACTCTCACTAGTTGTAATTACAATGATGAGACTACTGCATCAGAAATTCCTTCAGTATCACAAGGGACATAAATTAGAATTTTTAGTACCATTTTACTCGTCAGGAAAAGATATCACAGGGTAAGGTGGTTTGGTAATCTACCTCCTCCATAAAATGTTTACGTAACAAAGTGCATGGTGGGCTAATGCTTTTAAAGACCGCAGATGCTTTGCTAAATCCAGAATGTGTTTAAATGCAGCTCTGTGTATCTTTCATAATCGGAGTGAAGACACCATTATGGGAAAAGAGAGGGCTTTGGTTTGGTTTGACCAAAGAGAACAGTAAGTTCAGTGTAGCAGGCAGAATATTATAATAAAACTGAGAAACAGCATGTGAAGCAGATGCAATTTTTAACTCCACTGCAGTTCATTTTGATTTGAAATTCTGTGAAATACAAATTGTTTACGGTGTGTCAGTTCAGCTAACTCCTTAGGTGAGTTCAGATGCAGAAAACAGATTAAGATGTGTTTGTTTTTTTTTTTTTTTTTTTTGTAATTAATGAGGCATCAACAGGCATGGAAAGCCTAGAAAATAGAAGTGATTGTGAAGTACTGGCTGCAGGGTAAGAAGAGAATCTCTTGCCTCTATCACAATCAAAACTATTTGGGATGCTTATAGCCCTAACATCTATAATGTCCTTCAATATTATATGAGGAGATCCCAATGGGCTGGTAAAGGGTGTTTGATTATGGGATGGACAAACCCATTTCTCCACTGACATTGTCACAGCTGAAATGAAAAAGGGAAAGGACACCAAAATTATTCTCGCACGGTTTCCTTCCCAAATTCATCTGGACAGGCTTAGGTAACAAGGAGAATGCAAAGTGCTTAGCCTTTCATCTTCTGAATTCAACACTGCTTCTTTGGGCTCCTGTCCGAGACTGCATGGCTCCTCTCATCCAGCACAAAACTCCCCATTCAGAGAGCAGGGCCAATGCAGAGACCAAGTAAACACTGCTATGGTAATGTATTCCTTAAAGTCATACTTTCTCTTATCTATGAAAGGCCTTATGCCATTGAACAGCAAAAATCTCTCAGGGTAGTAAAAACCAGTGTCCTAACTTCCAAATTCTCGATGTTACTATCACATCTCTGCAAAACACAAAAAAGTGAGTATGAAAAGAAAAGATTATTGGAAAGGAAATCTTTGAGAACTGCCTAAACATCATGTACTGTTAGCTCCCTGCAGGGTTTCAGTAGGGTTTTTTTTTCCTTCTTTCTCCTTTTTTGAAATTAAAAATAATTTTAAGGGAGTGTACCAATGTCATCTGCTTCCAACATGAATCAAAAGGATTGAAAATTATAAATCTGATATTTGTGGGGAGAAGAAAATTTCACATTTTGTAATGAGGGAACAAATGTGTTCAATTTTGGGTAAGCATTTTAGATTTAATGCTTATTCTTCTCACAAGACAAGAGCATACTTTAACTGACACTGATATAGATGTCAGTTTCCTTGGTCTTATTTGTCCCATTCTGTCTACCATTCATGCATACACTAATATTCTTCAAATCATGCTTTGGTGCATCTCATGCACCTTCTGTTTTAATTTTTATTGTCAAAGTAGTAAGTGTCCTATTAAGTACAAACCCTGCTGACTTAGTTCTCTTCTGTCTTAGCTTCTTCTTTAAAAGCAATTTTAGATCATATTTCCTAAAACAAGGAAGCATGAATTATTAATACTCCTAATATAAATAACTATATAGGGACAAAATACTTGGGGAAAAAAATCTGTTAGGAATGCCAGCAAGAATGGGGACAGTGAGCTGGTAAGAGGAAAAAAGAAAACATGCATCATACCTAAAATATTTGGAATGCATACACACTTCATTTAGCTGGTAACTACTTTAATATAGCTAGTAAGTACTAAACTAAGGCAGATTCCATGCTTCACTGGGTTCAGTAATGATGGCAAATCCTTCATACAGTGTAGGAAAATGATCCTTTTTGGTCTTGGCAACACCACTGGAAAAGATTAATCTTAAAATGTATACAAATGTTTCTTTTTTTTATTTTGAAGCCATTAATTTATCAAAAGTGTACTAAGATTCTGAAATAAAATAACTCATGTTTATATTTCATATATGTCTTCACACAGGCCACGTACAGAAATTTCTTACACTGCAAAATACAGACTCGTAACCCAGGTGAATAATGCCAAACATTGGACAAAATAATGTTTGGGTCTTCAGATTTCTCTCAGTCATCCTCAGTAAAAGGCAGACAAACAACAACATACTTCTTAACATCTATTGCTGTGAATGTGCAGCTTCTTCACTGATAAGGTTTCCCAGGGTCAACATTACTAGTTAAAAAAGGCATCACGTCTTTGACTCCTTTTAAAAATATGTATTAGTGCATCTCACCACAGCTTTTAATTAGGAATCTCAGCAGAAAGTTAACTCCAGGCTCAATACAAGGACCTTCTTTGTACCTCTGCTTGTTTGCTGAGTCATTTCCAGAAAGGCTGGATCTTTGGCGCTGAATTTGTATAAGGGAGACTTCTCAAACATGCTCTTATACAGTCTTGCCCCCAAACTCTGCTTTTTTCCATTCTTTCATGAATTTGACATAATATCTTGAGCAACAATCTAAGAACTATTGATAGGACAAATTCTGACTCTGCTTACCCTCTCATCCTCTTTATGTTAGCATCCTAAATGTCTGCATTTGCTCTTCTCCCATTACTCTGGTTATGGGGGGGGAAGAATAATGCCTTGGAATTACTAGAGCTTGCAGTCAAAGTTCCTCATGTGTTCAACTTGGGAGGGGAAGGGGGGTTTTGTATTTTTAATTTTTTTTAAAAAAGACAACTTTCCATAGATATTTCTGTGCTTAAAAGAACTACTGACAAAATGGTAGTTTGGAAGATTAATGTTCTCTCAGCATCTTTCCAGCTTGGTCGTTATTTATATCCTCTTTTGCTAAGTTACTGACTCTCTCCCGATAACATGCCCCTTTTTCACTAATGAGCGTAGGGATAATTGCAAAATATAGCTGGAAGAAAAGAGACCCTTTGTGCCTTTTGGCTGTATGCCTGATGCAATGTTTTGCACGGCTGTAAATACCCTTGCCTGCTACCAATGCCGCTCTTCATTTCTATTTATTTTAAGCCAAAGTGGATCTTCACATTATGACAGAAAACAGGGACCGATGCGGTCTCACGCTGCTGCTTTGCTGGCACCTCTAACTGGCTGCCTGATCATAGGGATTATGTAACAAAGGAGAGTCCAGAAACGTTTCCAGCCCTCTGTGTTACCGAAATAAGGAATTTTACCCCAAGAATTATTTTGGCCTGAGGCCCAGAACAGGTAAAATTCAATCCTAGGTGAATGGTGTTTTTTCTACATATCAAGAAATGATTTATAAGCTTCTCTAGTGAAACTACTGAGCTGAAAGAGGAATGAGATCTCTCTCAAGCATCCGACTCTCATTCTTAACCCTTAGAGAACCCAGGAGAGCAGCCTTCATAAATATAACAGCATTCTAAGGTCATCTTAAGATTATACTAGTAATTTCCATGACTTTTCATGACCCTACAGAATTGGATAAATGTAGTAAAGCATCTGCTATGTAGGTGGAGAAATAAAATTACCAAATAAGAAAAAAACCCTATAAATTATTTCTTTGTAAAAGAAAGGGAAGAGAGGCAGGAATTTATAGGGGATATCTTTTTATGAGACCCACTGATATTAAGATAAACCAAACGCAGAATACAAAGAAACCATTTCCTGTTTGGGTCAAAATGGATTTTTTTTCCAGGTGGCTGAAGTAGCCTGAAGTCTGCTAGTTTCCTTAGAGGAGCAGCGGGTAACAGTTAGGTTTAACATTACTACCATTTCATGGATTTAATAATGGGAGGGAAAAATCATTAGCTCTGCAATATGCAGACTACTTAGTGCAGAAAAGACAAAGCAGGCCAGTTTCCAGACTTACATTGCTACAGTTTTACATTTATGGAAGTCAGCATTATAAATCTATAGGAGCAGAAAGACTTACTAGTCAGAGAGCAAGCTTTCCTCTATGGAAGACTTTTATACTTCAACTCTGCTATACTGGGAAAAGGGGAAGAAGGAGCTCAAAGACAGTACAAGTGTCTTCTTATTACAGAGCTGGTTGCACAAAACAGCCTCTTGAACTTGTAACCAACACCTAATGTAACAGACTAGATGGTGGGCACAAAATTCCCTTTTCTCCATGTTAAATAAAGACACAATGAATTCCTGGTTTTCATGGCTTACATGTTCTGTTTTGTTATAATAATTGATTCCTTACATTAAATATTCCAAAGTTAGTGGGATAAAAATGTTCAAGTCCACAGTATTGAAAACAAGGAGAAACTTAGCTTTGGGAATACACTGAGATCTGTATATAAAACACAAATCTTGGACCAAATCCATGCTACTATACCAGCTGAGGTTTCGTAAAGCAATGAGATAATCAAAAAGTATGAAACAAAATTTGTGAAGTGCTTGCATATTACTCAATGCATATTTGTGTGCATTTCCGAATGTTAGGAGGTTTTACAAACACTGTAAGAAAAACTATTTTCTTTAGAATCTTGACAAATCTGGTATTTAAGCAGAGGCATTAAGTACTTACCACCACCAGCATTTCCTTCTCTGCGGCTACGTGCACTGCTATCTCTGCCAGATTTAATTCGCTGGAGAACAGTGAAAAAGGTTTGAAAAGAACAGAGCAAAAAGCCCATTTAGTAATATACATTAGATATAATTATTGAAAACTTACTTTATTAATAAAACAGTAGAAGAACATTAAACTAGGCTTACCATGCTGTAACTAATAAACCTTGTTTTTTCAATGCACAAAATTGTCCTTAAAATCAGTGTTAAATCCAATGTTTACATAAAACAAGAGTTCTGTGAAATTCAAACAGAATATCTCAATACATTATTTTTCTTCAGATAAAATTTATACAAGGAATGTGCATAAAAATAGTTCAGATGTACCTTTGTAAAGTACAGCTGTAAAAACAGGCAACATAGCCCGCCTTGCACGAGTTCAAAGTAGCCTCTGCCCATTAACGTCTTGTAAATCCCACAAGTGTTTTATTATTGTAAAGATTCAAGGGGGGGAAGTAGGGAAATCTGTAAAAAGAACTATTCATCCCATAGATCTTGAATTTTGAATACTTGGCACAACACTGTACTTTACAGCAAAATTTAATTTGCTGTTGAGTGTTAAATGCAAGATAAAGGTGAAGGTAAATACTTTAAAAGCTGTGTTTAAAAAAATCAGCTCTCTTGCACTGAGGAAGGTACCATAAACATCTTCCAGCTGTGGTGGGTTTTTTTAGTGTTATTTGAAAACTTTAACAGTTTCTCAAAGCAATACCTCTGTATCACATAGCAGACTTGGCTTGTCCTGACAAAACACCAAATTTCTTGTGCATATATCTTGTTAATTACAAGAAGGTACATCTCAGTGAGGGGCTTTTTGATGGGTAGGTAGAAATACATGGTGTTTAAAGCATTCAGCTGTTAATGAAGTAATCTCTGCATCTTCTTTCAGAATATCAATTCAGGATCTGATTAAAACACATGCGCACACTACCTAATCATGTATTCAAGTCAATCACTGTAGCTTCTTCACTCATTTTTCATCAGAAAAATATCATGGAATCTGGCAAAATTGGAATGACACAGAAGTAGTGAAAGAACTTTCCCGGTTCATGCCAAAGGAAAAAGGAAGAACCCTTAAATGAAAACTCACTCAGGAGTCAGACAGGAAAGCAGTGAGCTTAGCGTGAAACCAGGAATGGTCTTGGAGCGATCCAGTCTGGGACTAGAATTTCTCATACTTTTTATTTATTTTGGGAAATCCTCAAGTCTAAAATATGTTCTCTGAATTCTGGATTCAATATCCTATTCACAGTCCAGTGAAGTAGCATATATCAGTCCTTCAGGAAGCATGTTCAGACTCTCCAAATTCTGAATGACTGACAAGTCTGCCAGTGGAAGCTCAGCTTCTGTCTGCCAGGGGGAAGTGGTCCCTATATGGTAGTGCCCTCATCGCATTTACATCCTAGGACTTTACTCCCAAAACAGTAATTATAGAAGTACTACAGCTTAAGCATATGACTAATTCCTGTAAAGTTCCAAGCGAGTAGTTCATAAGTCATCTCATACTAAAAGCAGACATTTAAAATAGGTCCAATGATTTCCACCCTAAAAATGCCTCTTGCTCTCCCATGACTGCAAAAGACATTTAGGGTGATTAGTCCAGATGTAGATGTCTGAAGGTAAAGGCAGTAAGTCCTCCTCAGTGTTTGTACCTATCATCACTGCTTCACACCACACCTGATCAGTCCCTCATTTTCAGTCATTAAGCTCACTTAACGGAAATAAAGAGTCATGTGTGTATGCAGTGATGCCAAGAAGGTTGTGCGAACTTTTACACTATCACCTGTCTTTTTTAAACTGAAAGATGAAAAAGATTAATGCATAAAAACCCCCACAAAAAAACAACCAAACAAAAAAACCCAAACCACCAACATATGAACGTTACAGTAAAAATCCAACGCTGTGAGAGGCAGGGAGAATAATTTCTACAGGGAATGAACCCCACAGATGTTTCCAGATTCTTGGCTGGAAGTCTTTAACAACTTGTCCATATTTGAGAACTGAATGAAATAAGTACTCCAGAATATTTATTTTGGTATAAACTCCATGTGGATATACTTATTCTGGAAAAACAATGCCAGCATAGCAAATTTTGATAAATTTCTACAGGAAGACAAAGTCTGTATGCAGACTTTGAACTGTAGGTACATTACACTAGCATTTATCTATTTTCTCTTTACTGGGTGCAATCAAGAAATCATGGGTTAGTCTGAAATTGGGAGCAGGAATTGAACCATCTCTGGTGTTGCTAACTGAAACCACTGTTCCTATTGGAAACTTTGGTGGTGAAATATTAACTTGATAACTTTAGAACTTGAAAGTAGATTTTATTACTATATACTCATGGATGACAGAAGGAATTTCTCAGGACAAAAATACCTAATAATTTCCAAAGCCAGATGGTAGACGTAAGACTAAAAAACCACACACACACAATCCAACCAAGCAAACAACAACAACAACAAAATCCCCAAACCCAAAACAAGGGGATGGGAACCCAGATGTAATACCAATAGCAAAAAGGAACAGCAGGGCTATTGTTTCCAAGACAGCACTGATTTTGAAATTCTGTCACAGAAAGATATTCAACTTCTAATATAGGATGGCAGCATACTAAATCGCAGTGTGTTCTGTAACTTTTTTTTTCTTAGTGTCCTTGTTCCTTTACATCTACACCATGTTGATTTTTAATAAAACTGGGTCAGTGGGTTCCTTGAGGGGCATAAAAGGTTGTTCCTTTCCTTGAGGAGACACTGAACTTGGGAGATTTCAGAGTGTGGCAGACAAGAAAACCAGAAAAGGGAGATGGGAGCATGTACCCCCATGAAAAGGAGCTGCAAGAAGGAGCAGAAAGCAACCGATCGGGCTTCAGAGGTTCTGAAGAGAATGTACCAGGAACCGTAGTGGCAGAATTTTGCTGCCATTCAGAAACTCACTGAGCTTACTCAAACATGCTGGAAGCGCCTGCCTGCAGGGATGAAGCTGACAGAGCTGATTAGAAACCTGTTTTGCTTCTATTACTGGTGGTAGGGTTTTTTTGGGGGGGACAGGGAGGATTGTTTTGTTTAGGAGTTTCTTGGGGTTGTTTTGGTTTTGTTGGTTTTTGTTTTTTTGTTTTTGTTTTTTTTTTTTACACCTAGTGCATTTCAGTTTTCTTTGTGTAAAAGAAAATTGGTTTAGTTTAAATTATGATAGAATCAAGCTTATTTGTACTTAAAACCTGTTTTATTTTCTATACAAAAGCATTTAGGCAGATCTACCTTAAAGCTTTGACTAATTAGAAGTGCCATCATAGATACCTTATTGTTCTCTCTACTCCGCTCTCCTGAGACCCCACCTGCAGTACTGCATCCAGCTCTGGGGGCCCCAGTACAAGAAGGACATGGAGCTGTTGGAGCGAGTCCAGAGGAGGGCCACAAAGATGATCAGAGGGCTGGAGCACCTCTCCTGTGAGGACAGGCTGAGAGAGTTGGGGGTGTTCAGCCTGAAGAGAAGGCTCCGGGGAGATCTAGTTGCGGCTTACCAGTACCTGAAGGGGGCCTACAAGAAATCTGGAGAGGGACTGTTTATGAGGGAGTGTAGTGATAGGACAAGGGGTAATGGGTTTAAAACTGAAAGAGGGTAGATTTAGATTAGATATTAGAAAGAAATTCTTCCCTGTGAGGGTGGTGAGGCACAGGAACACGTTGCCCAGAGAAACTGTGGATGCCCCCTCCCTGGAAGTGTTCAAGGCCAGGTTGGATGGGGCTTTGGGCAACCTGGTCTAGTGGAGGGTGTCCCTGCCCATGGCAGGGAGGTTGGAACTAGGTGATCTTTGAGGTCCCTTCCAACCCAAACCATGCTAGGATTTTAAGTCTCTTAACACAATGTAGTCAGAATAAAAAACCCAAAAAACACAAACTGAAAACCAACAACATAATTTAAACACAATTTCTGTGTTAATAAAATCTTAAATAACTTAAATAAGGATTTAATCTTTTAAATATTTAGCTGGTAGGTTTTTCCCCACCAAAAAGTACAGAAATGTGTTCAGGAAAGCTCAGGCTTCCAACATGAAATAAACAAGAAGAGATGTGACAACTTTTTTTTTTTTTTTTACATATTCAAACATTAACTTTCTTGAAAGTGAGAAGTGTTTTCCTTAGAATCTTCAACATTTGTAGGTCTATGGTACATAATTAATGCCTACAGTGTAAAAGATGCTGGAATTATATTCAAGGAAATACATAACCTCTCCACCTCCAGGGACCTCTCTCTTTACCAACTATACAATAGTCCAGTTTTAACTGGTTTCATCTCTGAGCTTTCCCGAGTAAAGCACTGAGGGTATTGGAAGTTACTGTAAAGAACTATGTATATCTCTAGCATTGAACTGATTCCCTAGAAACTAAGCAAAGCCTGTTTAACACACTTCAGAGAGATCTCTTAATTACAAGTTTGGCAGAACAGAAACACTTTATCTGCTCGTCTGTTTTGCTAACTGGTACTATTATGGGGGAGGAATATTAGCCCCACTACATTTGAGGACTACTTTGTTTTGTCTGTTTTTCCAAGTGCTTTTAATGTCATGTTTATTGAGAATACAAATCAATACACTTCAACTAGCCCCCCAAAGTAAGGTGGTAGCATAAATCTGTAATCCTTTGATCAGCGTTTCCCTTTGTGGGTTTCATTTTTAAAATATCCTACTGTACATGTGCCAACCGTATCCTGGGGTGCATCAAGCACAGCATTGCTAGCCGGTCTAGGGAAGCGATGGTCCCACTCTACACTGCGCTGGTGCGGCCTCACCTCGAGTACTGTAAAACTATTGGAGAGGCAACAAAGAAAGAGGCAAGAAAGAGGCAAGAAAGAGGCAAGAAAGAGGCAAGAAAGAGGCAAGAAAGAGGCAACAAAGAGGCAACAAAGAGGCAACAAAGAGGCAACAAAGAGGCAACAAAGAGGCAAGAAAGAGGCAACAAAGAGGCAACAAAGAGGCAACAAAGAGGCAACAAAGAGGCAACAAAGAGGCAACAAAGAGGCAACAAAGAGGCAACAAAGAGGCAACAAAGAGGCAACAAAGAGGCAACAAAGAGGCAACAAAGATGGTGAAGGGTCTAGAGGGGAAGACATATGAAGAGAGGCTGAAGTCCCTTTGTTTGTTCAGCCTGGAGAAGAGGAGACTGAGGGGAGACCTCATTGTGGCCTACAACTTCCTCATGAGGGGGAGTGAAGGGGCAGGCGTTGGTCTCCTCCCTCTGGTGACCAGTAACAGAACCCGAGAAAACAGCATGAAGCTGCGATGGGGGAGGTTTAGGTTGGATATCAGGAAAAGATTCTTCACCGAGAGGGTGGTCAGGCACTGGAACAGGCTCCCCAGGGAAGCAGTCACAGCACCGAGCTTGACTGAGTTCAAGAAGTGTCTGGATAACGCTCTCAGTCATATGCTCTGATTTGGCTGGTCCTGTGTGGAGCCAGGAGTTGGACTCGATGATCCTTATGGGTCCCTTCCAACTCAGGATATTCTATGATTTTATGATAGACTCTCTGGAATTGAAGTAAGTAATTAAGGATACATTTGACACATTATCTGACATCAAAAGGGAGCCAGTAAGTGTTACTAGGAGTAGAGTAAATTAGGTAAGATTAAGGTGTCCTCATGTGACTATGTAACTTTGGAGGCAATTCGCTGGATAGGAGGAGCAAGCTTGAACACTTTGCAGCTCAACAGCACGAATAATGCTTTCCAAACAAGAAGCTGATTTTAATTTTAAAATCTTACTTTACCACAGGAATAGCAAGAAAATGATGCACGTGTGCACATGGATGCACACGCACACACACTCACTCTGAAAAGAACACGAGTTATGATTTTGCACCTTTCACCACAGCCTGTCGATTTTCCATGGAATTTTTTTTTTAATTTAAAAATAGGTACTAACATAAATAATTTACTTCTACCTATGTAATCTGACAATGTTGCAGCTTTCTCTATAGCAAAAAGGAGTTTTACTACATGGACAAATTCTTGGGCTCGCCTTCTCTCCCTATAGTTGCATTATTACTTGGCTCATAAAAACACTTTATACAGTCTGGCAAATAAGTAGGAAAGACGACATTCCAGAGACATTGAATTATGCGGGTGGCTCCAGCATTCCCATCACATCCACATAACCCATCTCTCACTAGTATTTAAAAAATCACAGAAAATCCGGTGCTCAAAAACCAAACAGATATAAGGCTGATCAGTAATTTAAAACTGAAACCCCAAAAAACCATAAGCCTCTCTAAACCAGGAAGATAATACACATTTTATCTTGAAGTATCATAAGCACTATTTTAGCTTCATCTACGTACATAGTGATACTGTACAGTCACAGAAAGAAACAAGATACCTGCTCTCTTATTTCTTTTAATTTTTCCACTTTCTTGAGCTTTGTCATATATTCCTGGACTTCTTTCAGCCCCATATCTGTGCAGAGACGAACTAAAAATCGGAGGCCTAATTGAAAAGCAAAACATTGTTTGAAAAAAGGCTTATAAGTAGGTCAAACAGCAAGTGCACCCTAACAGAACTGGACAAACAATGCAAGTAACTGGGAATACAAGATGACTGTAGTCCAGTTGTGGTATTTTGTAAATAGTTCAACATTTTCTGTGATGCAGTGTCTATATCCATGAACAGTACAAATACTATTTATATATGTGGAAGTCACAAGACATAGTAACTCATCTGGCTCAGAACTCTTAACATTTGCAAAATATTTTGGAAACTGGAAAGCATAATAATACTGAGGAGCCACTATCAATACCATTTTGTTGAAAACAATTTTACAAATGTCAAGTGAATCAGAATGGTTTGTTTTTCCTGGTGCTGTGATGAATTCTTAAAGATTAGTATTTCTAGAATTAAAGAACAACAAACCAGACATGAAGATCAACTATAACTGTACGACAGAGCCAAAAGAACCCCTAAAACCAGTCTCCTGAGACCCTATACGAAATTCTGAAAACATTGTTGCTATTCCCATGTGTTTGTCAACATCCCTTTGAAAGAACTGCCTCTGAAGCAGAAACAAGCACGGCATGATCCATTAGCCTCCTGACTGCTTCCACAAATATGTTCTGTTCTTTTTGTACTAAGTTAGTTTTCTGCTGGTTTAGGGAGCTGAACTTGTTCACTGAGGAATCAGATAAGCATCAGAATGAGCATAAGGAAGATGGTTGGGAGCACATGGCCAGGAAGGGATGAGTGAGGAACCATTGTTTCAGCAGCAGCAAACTTAGACAAGACAATGTAACTGATGTAAAACTCCTGCCTCCATTTTGTAATTTGTTGAAATTACATTCAGAAAAATAGTAGCATTCCAAAAAGTTTACTAAATACTCTATGATTCTTTGAAATATGCATGACCAATACGAACCTGACATTGTCCTTATAACTTTGAGAAGTCACAGTATTGAGTTTCTCTTGTACAACAGAGTTGTATGAGTCCTCTTTAAAAAAGCAGTATGTTTGTTAAAGCAGAACAATACGTTTTATTTTAAAATCAAGTGAATGTTCTGCCCACATAGCATTTAAAAGCATAGACTTGTTGGCAACAACCTCGTATTTTGGAATTAGTGAGGCACAGTGTGGGATGTCAGAGGATGTTTCCACAACCATTGACAACCCCTATTTTCTACAGGGCTTTTTCATTTAGAGTATAGGTGTGAGATTCTGCAAAATGTCTTACTCTTCAAAGTTACGTTTCCTGTAGTTTAGTTTGAAATTCTCTACGCATCTTCCAGAGACTGGTTGACCAATTATACTTAAAAACCCAACAACGAAATTTCACCCTCTACATTCTTTTGGAAGGTTTGGCTTTGGTAAGATTTTCTCACATCTAGAAACTTACAGCAGGAGTTTCAACTAGCAGGGACTAGAAGTGAAAATACATGAATTTTATCATAAGAAGGATTAACTAAGTAACATAGTTATAAAATTTAGAAAGTATGTATGAGAAAGAACTCAACAAATCCACTACAGTTAAAAGTTTATTTTCATCTCTCCTCTTCAGCATTACCCTAATATTTCTTAAATTATGCTTTAGTATTGTCACAGAAAATACACAGCATTAGCATGAGTAAAAATGGTAGTTCATGAAAATATTTTCATATGAAAAATACTTACATCATACAATTACTAAAACGTATTCAATGTAACAAAGTTTCCTTTGATAGTTGTACCACTCAATGAAACAACTTACATTCAACATTTTCCGGGAATTTTCTGTGAATGACTTTGTATTTCTCTAGAGCTTTCTGGTAGTTACCTGCAAGCAAAACAAACATCTCCTATCCACATATCCAAACATAAAAAAGAATTATCTTATAAGACTTTTCAGTTTGAGTACGTGTTTTAATATTGTAAGATCAAATTTGATAAAACTAACAACAGTCTTTAATTACTGATAGTAAAAATTAAGAGCACCTGAAAACACTTTGAATTACTTTGTTAATAACAAAATTAATGAAAAGTTTTCTTATTTTTGCCCTTTTATGACCTGCCTCTAGGTCTCCATTGTTCTACGACACATCTACTAGACAAGCATACCAGGGCTTATCTGAGGCTGCAAATGTATGGATTGGTCAAATAGAAATGATTAACAGCTGAACTCTGCCTACCCTTCCTTACATCAGAATACTAATTGTGTGTCTCTCCTTTGCCCAGATCTGGTAGTGAAGTAATTATTCTTTAAGATTTTTGCCTTCAGTTTTTATTTTCCTAGTGCAAGGTAGAGATCAAACTGACCTGCTATGTTAACACGATAAGCTGGGAATTTTGCCAATGAATCATAAATGATCTAAAAAGCAGCCAAATCCATTGTGTTTCTTTGCTGGGAAAACAGTTAATCTGTCTAATTTTGGGTGGTGCGGACCTTAATTCACTGACTTCCCCAGGTCCTTTTCTCACTATTGTATTATATAACTGAGCAGAGTGAGAAAATGCACTTATTTATTACGGAAGTCTGTTCCGCAAAGTTCTAAAGAAGCATAAAGGAGAGTGACAAAATGGGACAGCAAGAAAGAAGAGTATCATTTACATCATCAAATGTCTTGAATGCATTTTAGGTGTTAAAAAAAACCAGAAAGATTAGTCTCTTTCTGTTTTGCTTATTGACATATTATATTCCTAGTAAGAAAATACAGCACATTAAGACTGTCTTTTGTTTGTGTAATGCAAATACTATTTTAATATCGAAAATTATACCTGCTGTTGAAAAGGAATGGGAATTAAGCAACTTTAAAATCTAATTACTTATGTCAGATCAGATGGGAGTACAATTACATTTAAAAAACCTATCAGGTAATTCATGCTGTAGTATCTTCTTTAACTATTTAACAGCACAAGGAGCGTTTCATGCATAAGTCAGTGCAGGTACACATCCTGGACTTAAAAAAAAGTCATGTTTTATTATATATACACAGAAAATTTATAACAAAATAGTATGTAACTGAATTTTCAAACAAACTTTAGGACCAGTATTCATATCAGGCAGAAAGGATCAAAAGAAAAAAATATCAAAACAAATCATAGAATCCTAGAATGGCTTGGGTTGGAAAGGACCTTAAAGACCATCTAGTTCCAACCCCCTGCCATGGGCAGGGACACCCTCCACTAGACCAGGTTGCCCAAAGCCTCATCCAACCTGGCCTTGAACACTTCCAGGGAGGGGGCATCCACAACTTCTCTGGGCAACCTGTTCCAGTGCCTCACCACCCTCACTGTAAAAATTTTTTCCTTATCTCTAATCTAAATCTATGCTCTTTGAGTTTAAAACTGTTGCCCCTTATCTTGTCACTACAGGCCCTGGTAAAAAGTCTCTCTCCATCCTTCTTATAAGTCCCCTTCATATATTCTCCAGGCTTCAGAACCCCAACTCATTAAAAAAAATAAATATACAAACCTCCAATTACAAAAAAGTTACAGAACTTACCGCTTCCCCTGTAGCAACTGGCAACCATCAGCTGCCACTTCACTTGTGTCGGTCTGCATATAAATAAAATAAAATTATGCAGAGTGCCAAACAATGAGTAAGGAAAATAATCTGCATAACATTGGTAAAGACCTACTATTAAGCTACTCTGAAAATTTTTCACCTACCATACTGCCTTCCTAAGAAGAATTCAGCCTGCTTAGTTCACATAGTTTATCCCTACGTCATACTCCTGTGTTCAGGCCTCGATGTCACACATTTGTAGTCCTCTGTGATAGTCTTTCTCCTGCTCATGATTCTGTGCACCAGTTACAATTAGTAGACCTGACATGTGAACCACTAATCTCTGTCTGAGGTACAGAACCATGTAATGGGGGAGAACAAAACGCTAAACTGCATTCTGAGGAAGTCCTACCAAGAGGGTCCCAAGCGTGCCCAAGGGATCCTTGCCAGAAAGCACACTCCCCACTTACAGCTTCAAACTCTGGCTTCTCCTGTGTCATCCTGCTACCTTTCGTTTTCTTTTTAGCACATAACGGTAATAGATACGGTCAGAGAAAATATTTGAGAAGTTTGAGCATGTACAACAAAACTGTTGGACTTTTCTCTATTATTATCAAGATGATGAGAAAATTAGGAAATTTTCACATCAACAATGTAAGGATGCTTTATAAGCCAAAGCACTTTTCACATGTGGCTTACAATTCAACAGTAGCATATCCCACAGGCATTGCACACTAACACTTTCAGAACAGTTTTATACTTCTTTTCAATTTTTGCCTCCAGTCACCACACAGGCAATTTTTAACTCCAAATCTGGTAGTTGCCAAACAAGCTTATGAAAGGCAGCTGCTTCACCTTTTTTTAGTTTCAGCCAAATGTGTCTCCTGCAAACAATAAAAGCAACCAAGCAGACACCATAATAAAGTTTATTACACACTTCAGTATGAAAATTCTAGAGCGAATAAATTGTCAGCAGCCAGCATTAGCTGCACAACTCCTTTTATTAGTGATTTGTGCATGCTTGTAAAATGTAAAATAATGAAAAATGGTTTCTCAGTTCATTGTCTAGCATGTTATCTCAGAATGCAAATTAAAATCTAATTATTGTGATTAAAACACTGAATACATTAAACAACGTTAAACTAAAAAATGCTGGCCATGGTTAAAATAAAGTTATAATTTTAAAATCTAACTTTATTTACCTTAGTAGCAATTTATAACCTAACATTCATATTGATCAATTAGCATATCTAGACTCTATTTTTAATACTAAATAAACACCAAAACATCTATGTTCTGTTTTCTACTATTAACAATCTCATCCCACAGAGAAATAGTTTCTCTGTATTACAGATAGATTACAATTACAAATAATAATGCAGAATTTCATATGCCAATTATTAGTAAGTACTTTCCAATCCACATACTTCATATTTCATGCATCGACTGAGTGCAACATTAAGCATAAAATATTTAGATCTTTGCCAAAACAAGATTATGAAATAATGCTTTTTAGTTTCAGCTGTTTCTTTCCAAAGTTTCTAAGAAGGCCGTGAACGCCAGCATATGCGATCTCATAGCTTGACTAAAATACAGTTTTTTAAGGTGGCTAGTATTTATACTGAAAAGAATGCTGGCAAACCTGTGAAAAGTGGTTTCTGTGAACTGCCTCCAGTGTATTTTCATCTAATCTACATTTCTATTACTTTGTAATTATACCACAATTTGGGGGAAGTCTATGTTTTTTCTATTTATTTTTGTTTCAATTTTTAATCCTTATTGAAATCTCAGATTTTCTTGTCTGTAATTCATGTCTACTCTAACTCAAGCCCTTTCAAAACCAGTAGTATTTTTTACTGAACTTCTAAACACCTATTTGCAGTATAATCTTTCCTTGAATAATACTGTACAATTTTTTGTTCACATGCTGTCCTGTTCATGTATGTCATTCAGATTCACAGAACAAAAATAATGCTAAATTTTAGATTATCACAAGACAAGCAATAACTGAGTTTTCCTTAGCCTGATTTTTGATAGTTTTCCCAAAACACAAAAATAGAGAAATTCACACTTGTTGGAGTGAATTTTGCTTGCATGAATTTTAGTTCATCTATTAACACAAAATTCTTCATGAATATATAGACAAATATTTGCTTCCACATAAAAAGACCACGTGCATGTTTTTTTAGAATTCTGTTTGAACTCTGGATCACAGATTTAGATTTGATCAGATTTTCGTTTATTAACCATTTGCCTGGTAAGCTCCCTTTCTGATCTAAAATAAAATGTATGGCTTATATACTTTCTTAAGTGCATCATATTCTGCTAAAGGACAATTGCAGCAAATAAGTTGCTGAACTAAACTCAATATATTTCGAATATCTCTATCAGGATTAGTTTGATCTGTCAACTTATTTTCACTAACCATTGGTAATTCTGCACTGCACATTTTTGCTTACTTCTATACCTTACTCGTAATTAATAGCCTTTTTATGGGAGTAGAAGTTATGTGACAAGTGGAAATGCAGCAAGAACTGCTAAAAGATGCATTTATCTAAACCATCAAATCCTTGCCGCATGATAAAATAATAGAAAGGAAATATTTCACATAAAGCCATACAGGAGGAGGTCTTGGTGGCTTAGGAGAGCTGTTCCCCGCTTCATAGCTCTGTATAATGGCAAAGAACAGAGAAAAGAGATTCTAATACCTAATACTATCTTGGACCAAATGGAGGATCTTAGTTAATACTGGAATTGCACAATAAGCGCAAAACCACACCGTAAACAAAGAGAAACTTGAGAAAATAATATCTCAAATATTTAACTGTGGTATTTACTTATAGTATTAAAGTTACCCAACTAATTTATCTCTAGGTATACTTCTGGATGTCTAATCACAAAATATTTGAGTGGGCATAAAATAATAATTACTTACAGGATAAGTGCTGCTCTTTCAAAGTACTCAATGGCTTTTTCACAGAACTGGGTGTCAATGTAATAGGCTCCAAGCCATTCAATGACCTCAATGTTTGAAGGGAAATACCGGTATGACTGACAAAATAGGAAAGGTGAAAGAAACACAATTTTAGTGATAAACAACATCTTTATGTTACTTCTGGAATATCTTAGTCAAGTGTTTAATTCTCCAGATGCCAAAAACGTGTAATATATGAATGGAAGTAGTGTGCTATACTAAGTAATCCTGGGGAAAGAAAAAAAAAAAACCCTCATGCCAAGTTTTCTAACTACTGAATGCTTTTTAGAAGTTACCTGAGATGAGTCTGTCACATTTTCCATTTAGCCTTATTTGAAATATTATTTTAAATAGTTTGCAACAGCAAAAATGTTTACTTAGATCATGTCTACATGTAAGTTACCTAAAATGTTAAACAATGCTAACTAAAATGTATACAATTCCACACTCAAATCAGTCTGCTGGAAAAATCACCAAAGAGCATTCTTTTCTATGAAATACCTATGTACATAAATAACATTTTTGGCTTTTTAGAAATTCCCACAGAAATAAGCAGCAAAATTATCATCAAGCACAACTCCACTAGTATTCAGATTGCAACACAGATTTTGGTCATCCTCGCTTTACACAGATTAAAAAAAACCCTCACAGCAAAGCAACTTCCTGTCTTATTCCTGTTTCTAAAACAGGAGAATCTCTACAAACTACAGACAGTACTATAGCTGGTTTAAGATATCCGTGTATACCTAATGTGTAGCTGTACCATTAAAAAAATATATATAAACTTAGACACATAAACACAGACACATTATATTTACATCTCCATATCCATTATACAGCTTCCAATTAATGCAGTCATGTTACACACATTTGAAATTATATTTTTAGATCTATTTTTTATTTCGTCTCAGACTACATTTTAAATTAAAATTGTTAGGGGTCAATGTAAGCAATGACCACATGAAAAATGACAGTCTGAGGTCAAATACCATGTGGAAACACAGGCTATGCATTTCCTTAGGATCGATCTGACTACAAAAATTAGGTTTTGATAACTCTCTCTCCCCAAAAATCTTTTTTTTTAAATGACATTTTTAGGAGTTTCAATGAATCAATTGTTAATTTGATATAGTAACCTATGACAAAGTGTTCTTTAAACATGAGAAAGCACATTGGAAAAGCAATAAAGAGCAAGTACCTCATAATAATAATGAAAAGCTTGGGATTTATCACCTTCATTATCATATAATTTCCCTAGCTTTGAAAGTACATGTGGATCAGTTGGTACTACACTGATCAACTGCAGGAGCCACTCTATGGCTTGATTGGGATCTTCCATGATCTCATATCTGAGTTTTCTTCAGTCAAGGACTGATGCCGATATTTTGATTTATTCAGAATTCCTACTGCTTTTCCTAATGTAATCCCTAATCTGCTGGACAGATACGCCAGTCACTGTAGTGTGGAGACACATTGGGCAGACTTTTTTTTTTTTTTTTTTTTTTTTAACACATTATTTTCATGATTTCATTTGTATCAGGAAGTATTTTTGTTATGCTGAAGAAAGGGAAATGTTCAGAGACTTTGCCTGCTACTTCACCTTAAAACCACTTTGGGCTCAACAAAACTTTGGGCTTGGTTCTCCTCTCTCTGTCACTAATTTTACTTTGACTTCCTCATTTCTAAGAACGAAGTGCAAGAATCAGGCAATTTATTTGTAACCTTTACAAGTTGATTAGTTTTTCGTAATACACCATTTTGTCCTAAAATAAGTGATTAGGTAAAACTGATCTCAAGAACAGACATTTGCCTGCAGTGAGATTTTCTGCTGTACGTCTAAGAAGCACAGCACAGACAGCGTACGATTCTGAGGCGGCTTTAGCTGTAATTAGGCCTGCAGCCTGCTCTCCTCTCCTCAGTCACCCCTGAGCAGCACAATGGCTCAGACCTCTGCAGTAACGTGAGCTGGAGCTCCTGCCCAACATGTTTTTTCAGTTTCTGCTGCACCCTACCCTACCCTTCATGGAAAAAGCTTGTGAGCGTTGGTGGAAAGCAGTTTTACACAGCAGTGGAGCAGAGAAGTTCTCCCCCAGATGGGAACTGGGAGCTGTAGGGCCATTTATGCTGTTGTAAAGTGGCTACGCAAGGAATAGAGATTACAGCCCTTCTGAGTTTTTGGAGGTTACTTATTTTACTGACTAAAATATATTTTTATTACCTTCACTATTCCTAAAAGTGTTGTACAGCAACTGGAATCTGTTCTGCCTTGGGGAAGATTTTATTAGTTTGCACATCCTCAGAAATTCGTAGTGCAGAGTATCACCGGTGATATGCAAAGCCAACCCCTCCCTTCCTCAGCTTTCAATCTGTTGAGCTTTTGCAGTGCTGGGAGACAACTATTTTCTTACACGTACACTAACTAATCTGAAAATAGCTTTCAGAACAGAACTTCACTTTCATTAACTGTATTATTTTTTTCTTAAAGGTTTTACTCAATTGTGCTTACATCTGCCACATTATTTGCATAATAAAATCAGCAGCATTTTAAATATTCCAGGAAACACTTTAATACTGAGTTTAAATGTATTCCCTGCAATGTAAACAGTCTTAATATATTTCTTCACTTCACTGGAAACATCCTAGAAGGTTGTAAGTTCTGTTCTTGTTTTTACAGACATTAGAGAATGAATCTATGCATGATCATCCTAATTATAATGGGCGCTACAGGAAATTTCTAAGTTGTTGTGTCATGATTGAAACACATTTCAGATTAAATGAGTTTACTAAAACCACGATCCCTTATCATAATCCAGGAAAAGATACATGTTTGCTATCTGGTGAAGGACTTGGGCACTGTTTCGAAGGATTGCATGGAGTTTCAGAAAACAATCCAAAGCTTCATCTATTCTGTTTAACTTCTTGTATGTTAAACCTAAAAATAAAGTTTACAGTATCAATGTAATGAAAAAGAGATGACTTCAGCATATTAACTGACAGAATAACCAAGAAAAATGAAATAGGAACACAGTACTTTGAGACAGTGTAACTGCCTTGACATTGATGGACTCTGTTTTGGAGAGCCATGCTTATAATTCTTACCAGCTAGTATGACTTACCAAACTGATAAACACAAGGAACACGAACCTAATCAAAAACCAAGAACACATGTAATCTCACTTTTTGAACACGATGAATGAGGGAAAGTAAGGACTTTTAGAGGTGAATGTCTCTGATGGTTTAATAATGCTAAAACTTTAATAGATAATAAAAGTTTTTACCTTCAAAGTGACTTAATCATCTGCAATTACTAGTTGATGTTGTTAACACTGGTATTTTTTCACAGAACAAATAGGAAGTACAAATTAATACCTTGCTATAACATAAATTACTAAATAAAGTAATAATAAGTATGTATTTCTATACAAGAAAACTTTGAAAGCCAGATTCTCAGAAACACTATTGTTACCTTTAGGCAAAAGCTAAATCACAAAAGCACCTTTGGCTTACCAAGATTATAAAGTGCTTCAGTGCATGAGGAATCATTCCTGAGAGCTTCCTTATAAAATTCAGCTGCTTTTTCATAGTCTCCGTTTGCAAAAACAGTATTTCCTTTGTTAGTTAGAGCTGCTGGATTGTACCTATCAGAATTTACAGCTAAATCCGCATAGTTAGTTGCTTGTGCCAATTCATTCTCCTACATGAACAAAACAAACATTGTATTAGTCATTAGTCAGTCAATTTTCTTGCAGCTGTAGCTTCTTACTGTTAATACAGTGGAATTTCAAAAGATTGAAGATGAAAAAAATAATACATTCTTTAGTCCTAAAATATTCCTTGTGTATTAGCATTAAGGCAGATCATCCCTTTCAAGTTTCAGAGAACTTAACACCTGAGATGTGTTTTGCCACTCCGTTACATTCAATCCAGAAGTTTTCTTTGTTGCAACAAAGTCATATTTCTTTAAAAACCAAAAATAAATCCCCATACCCTACAAACTTCATACACAAACACATCTGCCTAAGCTACATACTTCACATGTTCCTGAAGTTCAGCCAGGGTCTTCAGGACCTGAGTTTTAAATGCAGCTGCTGAGCTTCTGCACAACTTGCACTGCAGGCATACTTCTGCGGCCTGGGGCTCAATCTCACTCTTCCTTGCAGCAACAGGATACAAATCTCATGCTCCGAAAACATGCTCCAAACCTCAGCTAGAGCCAAGAATGGGCGTTCCAGAATAACAACTCTAACATGCAGTTTCTTGTTGTTTACAGAGATTATTTAGACACAAAAATTGCTACAGAGATACAGAAGTCTCTACATAAACTGCAGTTCTTAACTGGTTTTGTTGAAACAAACACTTACCAAATAATAAAGGAATGAAAGGTTTGTTGCAGCTGCACTCTTTACTCTGCTATCCTTTTTTTCGAACATTTTTAAAGTCTCCAGTGCCTAGAAGTAATTTGGAAACAATTTACTTCCCACTGAAGCAATATCAAAATTCTTTCAGAAAGCATTGACAAACAGTAACAAACAGCTAACATTATCAACTCATATACTCACATACATGGTAATTTCATGAGCTTGTAACACAGGCTTGTAAGCATGTGCACACAGAAGTATATCTGTATTAGACATAGTATTAATCTTGGTCACAACATTTCAACTGTATTGGCTACTTACTACTTCTTCAAAATTTAGGTTAGATATGGCTACCTTAAAGTACACAGATACCTGACAATTCTATATGTACAAAACACAAGTTTATATTATTTGCTTTTGATCTAGTCAACTAATTAAAATTCCCATACCTATTTTTCCAATTAAGCCAACATAAAAGGATTGATATTAAAACTCTTATTAAAAAGATAAAAAAGTACATGCTATATAAAAAAAATTATGCAAGACAGCGTAGGATTGGATTTCAACTTGCAGTTGTTTTGTGTAACAAGACGATGATGTCTAGATGTCTAAGTTTAGAAAGTACTCAAATGTGAAGACTGAGGCCAGAAGATTTTTATTTTTTTTTTAAATCTTTTACATAAAGACTACATTTCATAAACTTCAAAATAGAGAAGTTTATGGACAAAAAGTAAACATCTTTATAGTTAATAAACTATCAAATACACTTTGAAATAAAAGGCAACTTTTTTTTCATTGACTGTGTGATAACATTTGTAACTGCAGACTAAATTATTAAGAAAATCTGGCTTCTTTACACTAAATATTTATATTAGCTACACAAACTGGTAGAATATCACAGTGAGCCCAGTTCTGTTGTCTACTACAACACAGATGTGGCAACCTCAATTTAGCCATCAACATAAGCAATTCAAAAGTTTCCTTCTTCCTTTACATGAAACCAATAAGCTGCTGTTTACACATCAAAGTGAATGCAGAATACTGTATGGGGAATGCCAAAACAAACAAAGGAAACACATTTTAATTGACTGTCATACATAACGTTTTTACCATTACTTCACACAAAAAAGATGACTGTACTAATGATGTGTAAAATGATGAAGTAAATACAGCCAGATGTAGTGTATTGATTTTGTCAACTACATTCCACCCAAGAACTATGAACTACTAAAGATCATAATATTCTCTTAATAATAGAAAATTCTCTAAAGAAATACACCAATTCCAATCAAGAAGTTAGGCTTTAGATTTTGTGGTCTCTGAAATGTAAGACTTCAACTATGATAATTTTAAACTTTTATATGGTATTTCTGACTTTCTCCAACAAGGGAATGGTCCCAGATATTTACAGATGTAACACTACTGTATCTGAGGTACTCTACTCTTAAGCAAAGACCTGCTTCTTTGAGTAAAAGTGTGCATTTCTTACAATGGACTTTATTTATAGTAAACTTAGAGCTATATAGTTGAAAAGCCATTTCCCATTGTAGCTGATTTGCTTTTACTCCTAAGTGGCACCTTTGCTGGTAAAGATTAGAGTGGAAGTACCCTCTTTTTCGTGTATAATGAAAAGTTCATATGACTGAACTCTGTTCACTTACTGGTAAATTATGTTGCAGATCTCGAACCATTTCAGCAATTATGAGCCCTAAGATGAAAATCCGTAGCAACACCCCTTTTGTCCTTACAAAGTAGAAATGCTCTCACTGCACCATCAGCTAAATTTGTATATTTCTAAATAACTTCTAACTTTTTAATCTCAACAATAACCATTACTTAGATTCACAATCAAAACACAGATTGTCCAAATTATTTTTTCCAATGTACCTGAATTATTTGCATACAGAATTTAAACTTCAAAGCAGCTTGCCTGACCCAAGCAGGGTCTGCCAGAGATGTTAAGGAGTTGCATGGCTAACCTGCAGAATTTTGGGTTTAAATTCATTTTCAAAGTTTTTCTTTGAAATTAAGAAAGCATGCAAAATATCTACTACACAAACCCCCTCACTAATAAAATACAATCGAGACATATTATGGTAATTTCCATCCTGATTTTGTTTGTCTAGGACTGTTTTAAAATAACATATTCATTATGATGAGCACATAGTTAAGCCCATTACAGTTAAAACAGAAATCTGCTTTAGGTGGTGGGTTTTGGTTGTTTGGGGTTTTTTTGAAACACAATAAAGCTTTCAGCCTTGAAACTGAATATTTCAAAAAGTTTCCATTCTTGTTCTTCAGCCAAAGGTGTGTTGAGCAGGTGGAGAGTTAGTAAGTATATGAACAACAGACAGGATGAATATAAGTGGCAGCTGCAGTTTTATTAGAACAAAAAAAGAGTCTGTGCAATCACCATTCTGCAGTCCCACTCTACTATTAAGTGGTTCCAGTGCAGGTTAAAGGTCTTCTATCACATAATCAAAATAAAAAGAGCATCTACTCCACTTACTCCAACATCCTTCCCTCTCCCTCCATTGAAGTACTCCACAGAATAATCACCAACCATCTCTGTATCTCATTTTACCTCTGAGAATGATTTTTACATTTTTTTTTAAGCCATACTGGATACTAACGAGAAATTGCAAAAAATGACCATCAAAATAGTAAATTCTTGAGATCATATGACTGTTCACCTACCTGTAACACTCTCACTCTCCAAAAGCTATCATCAATAAAGCAACTAGATATGCCCCAAATTTTCCAAACTCTCAAACTGCTTCCTGATCTCAGAAAAGCTCTCAGCCAGCATGCAAGTATAATAAAGGATAACTAACTCTGTTGCTGTATCTACAGGGAAGGAGAAGATGACAGGACAGACCGGAAGAGCAAGAGCAGCTCAGGAAACCAGAAGAGCTTAAATATGAGAAGGATGAGTAGACTACATTAAGCACGGTGCCCTGTGTGCATCCCTCCAAGCTATGAGAAGGTGAAGTACCTTAGAAGATAACAGAGGTATATTCAGCTTCAGCTGTAATTTTACTGTATATGATCTCTCATAGTTCTTGCTGCTTGTGCAAACCTGGGGGTTGCTATATTCCTTCTTATTTATTCAGCATTCCTATCATTGAATGTACTGAATAGTGCACGTTAGAAGGAAATTGAGCAAATCCTAGCAGACACCTGAGTTTCTTTTTGTTCAGGTCAAGCTGTTTTCCAACTGCTCACATTTCAAACCAAGTCTTTTTTCACAGGCAAAGGAAACATCACATGACAATTTGGATGAAAATCTGGTATTATAAGTTGTCCCACAACCTCTAAAAATTTGATTAAGAGGGAAAAAATGCCTTTGTCTTAAAATAAAACATTGTAAGAAAGTTGCACATTCATTTGGATAATACAAAAAACTTAAACATGGTAAGTTGTGGTATTTATTTATACACCTACATTGGAAGTTTATATGCACTGAAAAGGAATGCTACAGTTAAGAGCCTGCTGTACTTATTAGCAAGAGAGTTGTGATGATTTTTACCATGTAAAGCAGTTCAGCATAAAATTTACTGGCAGAAATTTGTCTAACTAGTGATTGGACAGCCAGTTGTAGAAAGAGATCTTACCTACATAAACACACATAAATAATTTCAACATAGCCAAAAGTTACTTCACATGTATATTTAAAAATATAACAAAACAATGAAAAGGGAACATGTAATAATATGCATGATAAAAACTGTAAAATCACAAAGATCTATCTTCTGAACTTCTGCCAGTTAATGAATTTTGAGCAATACTTTTACTTGGAAGTACTGATACTATATCTCTTCTCTTTTGCTTCCTCATTTGCTAATATACACTGCAGCTTACACTGCTACAATATCTTTTTGGTAATGATGATTCATCCTAGCCCTCTGTGCCCTCCAGGGGGGCAATTTATAAGAGATGCAGAACTGTCTAAACTCCCGAGCAGATACTTAATTTAACTCCAGTTTGTATTTCAATGGTAAGATAGGAGCACTGACTAAAGTTCAAGGTCAGATTATAGTATTTTAGGGAATGTTGTAGTACATAGGTAACAGTGAGAACACAATAACATAAACAGCAGTGATACATATGAACTGCATCTGCATATATTTTGGTATTATAGTCAACTTAACTGAGAGAAAGATTCAGCTCATGCTAATGAAAACACCTCCACGTTGGTTAGCAATGTGCTTTCTAGGCTCTATTGACTGTCCAGACTACAGTTCCATTAACTGTAATGAGAGGTTGGACACAGTGAAGGTAACTAAGTTTAGGTATCTTAATTTTGACATGAACTGCATTCACTGTAACTTCTGTGGCATAAATTTCATTTAGGTAAAACTCATCTCTTGCCAGTGTTTTTATAAAGTTATTTTACCGAGCAACATCAATATAATTATTATGCTTGCATAAATCATTCTTGCCCTTGCTGAAAAATATGCTGTGGCTAAGAAGAATATCTTTGACAATACAGAATTAAAAAGTAGTAATGTGAAAAGTTACTATACCTGGTTAAAATCCTGCTGCCTCAAGTAAGTAGTGGCTTTATTTATTTCTAGGTCATTGGCTAACTCTACATAGTGGGAAGCTTTTACTACTTCAACACACCTGCAACAAAAAGCAAGCATAAAGATAAACAAAATGCATCTGTGCAAATGCAACTTTAAATTACATACTTTTGCAGCCAATTTGTTTTCCAAAATTAGTTGTTCTTAGCTATTCTTTCTTTACAGAGGCAAAGAGCACTTTGATGAAAAATATTTGAAAAAATGTTTTATTCCATTCCCAAAACCTACCTAATAATACTACCTCTGCTCTCACTTTTTTTTAGTCAGCTGCCTAAATATCATGTTATTTTCCATCACCAAGTGATACTTGATGTCAGATACTAAGATAATTTTTCAAACCGTTTCCTTTGGATATGTTCTATCAGCTGATTTTTTCAAACTTCATCTCCTGTTGCATCTACTACCAAACCCATAAACCAGCTTAGTGAACAAAGCCAGAGACTGCAGATTGCATCCCTAAGCTACGTACTACTAATAAAGTCATAATAATAAACCTCTTTCTGATTGTCCCCCAGTTACTTTTGGCTTAGGGTCTTCTATAAAATGAGGGCAGAACAGAACACAGCAGACATTTCAGATGTTCATTCACAGACACCATCTTCCAGGGTTTGACATAGTGTACTTTAAAATTGCCTAATCATTTGAAGTAAGACCTTTACTTGTTGTATGCATATACTATTCTCTCAAACTGTTTGGAATTAAGCACACTAAGTGAACAACTTAAAAAAAAAATGGTGGAAGGGATTAAAGTGGTGGAAAGTCTTTTCCTTTTCTTACAATAGTTGGTTAATTTGCCAACAAAAATTTAATTTAACAAACTGCCTGATGCTATAATTGGGTTGGCACATGGACAATCTCTATACAAAGTACAGACATGCCTATAGACAATGGACAATCTCTATACAAAGTATAGACATGTTGGAGGAAAAATTATATTGAAAGAATTAGCAATTTCTGCAAAGTTGTCTGCAATAAAAGAAATGTCAAAAACCAGTTTTCAGTTGTTACTGTTAACATCTTTTAACCATAAAATGTAATGAGATTTAACTATCCAACTGTAACTTACAGAATATGACAGAATAGTCCCAAGATTATGTCACATTTTAAGTTATGAAATCTGAGGATTATTTGTCCCCACTTTATTTCTGTAAATAATATTAATCTGATTAAAAGCACATTTAATACTCAGAGGACTCATAACAAAGTGTAGTATTTGGAAAATCAAGCTCAAACTGCTGGGTAAACTTCTTCACTGGACTTGAACATCTCAGCCTAAAATAGAGAGTAAACCTGTCCTGATACATGCAAAACGATCCCACACATCTCATTAGAAATTGTTTAATTGGCCAGAACAGATATGAAAGAGTTACTTCATAACAAGTATTTTCTGGATAGCACTAAGGAAACTGAATATCTGACAACTTTTTCCAGTTTTCTTGAACAAAAAACAAGACACAGAGCAAACAAACTTGACTTACTCACGCTAGCAAGTTCTAAAGCAGCAAGCTAATTTTCCCAAGACGTACTGCTTAAGTTCTGTATGTGTGAATGGCAAAAGTAGGGAAATCATAAGCTTATCATGTTTATTAAACCATCAAACACCACCTTGTGGACTCTAGCAGACTAAACATGTTTGTGTGAGAGTATTTGACGTTAGTATAAACAGCTTTATTAGTAAATTATAATTATAGGATCTGCAAAATTTGAAAATAATCCTAATTGGCCAAAAAAGACAGGTAAAGGAAAGTTCTCTTTTCACATCAAACTTCCTTCACTTCCCAAACACTGACCATATATATCCGTTAGTAATGCTGTGGCTGCAGATGCTGAGAGAGCTGGGTCTGTTTAGCCTGGAGAAGAGAAGACTGAGAGGGGATCTCATCAACATTTATAAATATCTAAAGGGCAGGTGTCAAGAGGATGGGGCCAGACTCTTTTCAGTGGTGCCCAGTGACAGGACAAGGGAAGTTCCACCTCAGTATGAGCAAAAACTTCTTCACTTTGAGGGTGACAGAGCACTGGAAGAGGCTGCCCAGAGAGGTTGTGGAGTCTCCTTCTCTGCAGATATTCAAAACCCACCTGGATGTGATCCTGTGCAACATGCTCTAGGTGGTCCTGCTTTAGCAGGGGGGTTGGACTAGATGATCTCTAGAGGTCCCTTCCAACACCTACCATTCCATGACTCTGCAACTGCATCAGCAGCCTATCACTGAATACACTTGTATAAATGTTTAAGAAACAATAGATTAAGTTTACATTTATAAACATTAAGTTTATAAATGAAATGCAAATAAGCCTTTCTAATAATAGATTCCTGTGTTTTATATAATGACTCTACGGATACTTCTTAGACACCCCATGTCTTCATTACACTATCTTCAAACTTACAGTAAAGAGCAGTGATCATCGCCTTCTGCATAGCAATTGTCTATCAGGACTTCTTTTAAAAGTTCTTGAATTTTCAAATTCAATTAAAATTTAAGAAGCTCTTTTTGTGCTAATATGGAACAGTTCAAAATGTATAATTAACAATTGAGTTTCAATAATACAATGAAATTAATGTTTAACACAGAATAGACTCTAATGCTTTATTTTGTTCTTCTGCAGAGCATTGTGGAGGCAAACTGAAAATAGCCTGGACGCTATGTTTGAGATGTGCAACACGCTATGTTTCCCAGGCTGTTTATGTCTGTGAATCCGGTTTCATAACTGGCATGAAAGATTTGCATGTAATTTAGACGAAAAGAAGTCCTGCTGACTCTTACCAGTCATAGCCCACTGCAAAAGATGTCTCAATTACCGGTGCAATAAGTTTAGCAGCTGTCATGATGTATTCCTCTGCCATGGATTTCCTAAGAAAAAAAACAAACAAAAAAGCCACAGCACCACCACAAAAACCAAGACACAAACATGTCACCATTTCAAAAACACACACAAAAAATAACCAAATCTTGTTCTTGCTTATTCCTGCACTTAGGACAACCTTAGAAGTCAATCTAACCAACCTCCTGCTACTGCCCTGTATCTCGATAAAGCTCTCAGTTTCTTCTGTTTTCCTTTTACTGTACACCGTAGTCATATTTAAAAAAAAAAACCAAACAACAACAACCAAACAATGCTGCAAGTTTTAAGCAGTATAACCTATACCTCTTGGGGTGGATACTACAGTGCAGTACACTAAACTGAGTGATCCAACTGGTTATTCCAATCATGTTTTTTCCCCAAGAATTATGAGGACACATTCATAACAAAAGCTGTGGACATGTGAGAAGACTGATAATACTTTCAGGAGCTAAAATCTATGACATCATAGTCAAGAAAGAATAGACTCCGTCATTACCTCTCACGTTCTATTTGTCTTAAGCTGTCATTTTTAATGGCTTCCATCAGTAGATTTGTATGTGGATCATCCTGGAGGGGGACAAAAACCCTGCAAATTATGCCAGTATACATGCATTTTAATTATTTTATAAACAATATGACTATAAACATAAATTGATGCGAATTACATAGTCTATAATGTCAGTTATTTACTTTTCACATTTCAAAAAGCTAGCTTCAGTTTGAAGCAGTTTTCTAACCACAAAATCTGAAATTTGGTGTTACAACTACTTTAATCCTGTTTTTCTGCTCACGTATGTGGTCATAGCTCACATTTGGGTTGTTAACAAGTGCAATAAATGCCACATGCATCAGACTGGGAAGGCTGAAAATCACAGCGAGAATACTCACATGCTTAAAAATAAGAGCATGTTTAAGCACTTGCTGAACTGCAGTGGTATTCAGCAGATGAGGACTTGTGCTACCTTCTCATTACAATAACTCACATGATCATCTTGTGGTTTCTATCACACATCTTTGTTAGTTCTAAAAGAACTAATGCAGGTATGATGGGTAGCTGCCTCTTCCTCATTACTGGGGATATATCATAGTTTTATACAAAATAAAGACCAGAAGGAAACTTTGTAATCTTTTTTTCTGATTTCTTCATAACAAAATACAGAACTTGGAATGCCTGTTAAAACTATAGCTTCCCTGTCCTTAGAAAGAACTTCTAAAGCTTTTCTTCTAATGAATGGTCTTACATAGTCTTCAATTAATTCAAGTGTTTAATGATCCTTACTGTTACATAATTTCTCATATGAGAAATTATACATATATCTCAATTATATATAAAATATATAAGA